CATCCTTGGGTCAGGTTTCCCGTACCAAAAAGAAATAGGCCTGAGGCTGGTGGGATGGCTATCAGTGGAGAGGGAAAGCCAAGGAAAATGAAGTTGGGATGTTCCAAGGAGTGAGATAACTTGTGTTCTAAAATGAATCTAAATCCTGTATTCAGAATCTGTTCTTGGGGAAGAGGGTCAAGAAAGAAGGAGAGGTATCAGTCCACGAGGTTTCTGCGGTGGTCTAAGATGGAGAAGATGATGGCTTAGAGTAGGACTTGAGCAGGGGAGGTGGTAAAATGCCGTCGGACTTAGGGAATAGTTTCTAGGTAGAGCTCGGTAAGATAATTAGGTAATGCTTATTGTGTGGCACCGCAAGCCACACATACAGCAGGTGCTTCTCAGCATTACTTCCTTTTTACTTCTGTGAGGAAATGGGTCAGTGTAGGATGGGCCCATGCAGAACCAGTTCTGTGATGGTGCTTGTGCATTCTCTAAATATGTGCCTCACTGTGTTTATAAACAAATAATTTGGCATTTATTGGGAAGCTCATGTGGGCTGATCATCTTGGCAGAGTGTTTTATGGGATGATAATAAAATAATGGTGGCAAACACTGACTTGGCCTTTGTTATGTGCCGCTTGGTGTCTAAGGGCTTTGCATCTATTAATTCTTACAGCCCTCGAGGATAGGCACTATTATTACTCCTTTTTTTCCTGATGAGGAAACTGAAGTACAGAGAAGTTAAAATACTCAAGTGTGCAAAGCTGGTAAATGGAGGAACTAGGATTAGATTCAGGGTGTTGGGTTTCAAAGTCTTGGCTTTTACAGCACACTGCCTTATAGAATGTGCAGAACACTATCAAATCCTTGCTATGATCAGAATGTATGTGCCCCTCTCAGATTCACACATTGAAACCAAAGCACTGAGGTAATAGTGTTTTAAGAGTTGGACCTTTGGGAGCTGATGAGGTCACTAGGGCAGCACTCTCACAAGTTAGATGAGTGACTTTATACAAAGGACTAAGGGAATGTGTTAGCCCTTCCTGCTTTTCTGCCATGTGAGAACCCACAGGAGGTGCCACCTAAACCAGACGTCACATCTTAGAGTGCCTTGATCTTGGATTCCCCAGCCTCCAGAACTGTGAGCAATACATTTCTAAAGTTTATAAATCATTCAGTCTAAGGTATTTTGTTATAGCAGCCTGAAAGGACTAAGAAGACAATACTCTAAGAGATAAATGTTATAAGAATATGGAGAAGAGAGTATATATATTTATTGTTCTGAAGAGATCTTGGGAAGCAAATAGGGTTTGTGTTAGATCTCAGAGAATGGAAAAGAATTCAGCTGTGAGAAAACGTAAGTGGTAAAAATAAATATAGTGATGGGAGTGAATATTTACTAAGCAGCACTGTGTGAACAGTTATATGGATTTTCTCATTTAATCTGCACCAATGCTTAGGTGCCTTTGAGTGTTTTTATTTTATTGAAAAGGAAATGGAGGCATCAACTTGGATAGGTTAGAGTTTTCATAATGCCAGAAAATGGAGGAGATGGGTTTTCAACCTATTATGACTCCAAACTTCTATGCAATGGGCTGGGAAGAACTTTACATTCAGGGAGAAGAGTGATGAGCTTAGTCAGGTGGGCTGATGTAAAGCATGTTTGGGAGTGTAGATTAAGAACAGTAATAACCACATTTTGCTGCAATACCCTCTTTGGAGGGTATTCCAATGACAGATTCCTGGCCCTGCTTTGCGTAGTTGTTTTCCTGTACAGCAGATCCACAGACCAGTACTTACATGCCTGTGAGCCCACATTGTAGGTCAGAATGTGGAGGCTTAGGAGTTCACATATGGTAGTACTTTACAGAGTTACACATACCTGTCTCTTTGTATCTAATTTGTTCTTAGTGGCTAGGACCTCTAAGGAGAGAGCTGTAAAAACCTTTGGACATTCAGCCCTGGGGGGTGGGGGTGTTAGATAGTAGGGTGACTGGAGGACGGAGCTGGCAGAGAAGATTGTAGGGTCAGTGGGAGGGGAGTCTCTTTCATATCATGAGAAGAAATCAGGTTCATTAGCATGTCAAATGGTAGCAAGGAGATGGTTTTAAGTAAAGGCCTTGGTTTATCTGTCCTTGATTCAGCTGCCCAGGAAGTACATGTGTATATACCAAAGAAAGGAAAAGACTGTGTATTAAATCTCAAATGCACACACACCAAAAACCTAATGATGTCGACCTCTTGACCACTTCTACCATCCCTACCAATGTTAGTCCACCTCAAATACACTCCAAGCACTTTGCATGGTTCTAGGATATTAGTTATAGATGTATATAGAAAAAGCAATGATTCCTTCTGTCTTTAGGGGTCAACATGATGCCTTCACAGAGTCCCGTTCAGAATTTTAAATGTCGCATAGGAAAGCAGATACCACATATATAGAAGGAATGCAGGTATTGAATAGTTAGCCTCTGGGAAATAAAGTAAAGTGAATGAAGGATGTTGGTAGAATGTTTGACACAGGATGAAGATTAGCCTGGAGTTAGTACTCAGGAATCCCACCTTGCAGGAAAAAGAGGTAAGGGGCCTGGCCCATGATAGTTGTTTGCTGCTATTATTATTATTAGAGACCAGATTATTACATGGCACTGTCAGGTGCTTTATATCGCTTTGAGACTTTACTCTTTTGAGAATGTGGAATGACATGCTGAGTTTGGATTTTTGGTGGGCATGTGTATGTGGCGTGTGGGCAGAGATTTAGGTTAGTGACTGTTGCGGTAATTTAATCAAGAGATATAATGAGGGTATGGAACATGGTAAAGGCAGTGAAGATGGAGGAGCATATTGGTCAGATTAAACACCAGAGCAAAATACCACAGACTGAATGGTTTAAACAACAGAAATTTCTCACAGTTGTGGAGGCTGGAAAACCAACATGAAATTGGGGGCTGGCTGTTTCCTGTGAGGTTGTCTTCCTGGCTTCTTCCTTTGGCCCCACAGTGGGGGCGGGGATTGGGGTGGGGTGGGGTGGGGTGGGGTGGGGAGTGAAAGAGAGCTCTCTGGTGTCTCCTAGAGGAAACTAGTTCTTTCCTATGACTTCATTTAACCTTAATTACTTCATGGGAAGCTCTGTCTCTAGATGCAGTCTTGTTGAAGGTTAGGGCTTCAACATATGGATTTTTGGGGGTGGGAGGTGGGGGAGTCACAATTTTGTCCATAGCAAGGAATAAAATTAGTAGCTCACCTACATTCTTGAATGCAGACAAAGGTGAGCATGGGGATCCCTTCTGAGCTTTAGATTTGGGTGGGTGACTAGGTGACCACTGCTGTAGTAGGGGAGGATCCAGAGGATTTTTGGTGTGTGTTCTTGTTCTAAGATTGTGTGAATCCTCTTTAATTATTGACCAATTCATCATCTTTATAATTTCTAAAGGTGGTGATAAATTATACCACTTATTGTACTGTTTTCAGTTGCTATTTCTATTTTGTGATGTGCCAAGGAAAACATCAGCAACATTTGTATCTACAAAATAAGGTGATTTTGCATTTGATGATGAGGTTTAGCTTTCTCTTTTCTTATGTATGTATTTATGTATATACATTTCCTTAGAGGTAGGACAAAGCAGTACCTTATTGTCAAAGCCATTTCCTGCCTTCTCTCTTGTTTGTGTTTTTATTTCTCTGCTCCTGAAGGAAGGCCTGGAAAAAAGGTGCTTTCCCTCTGATGCTCTCTGTACTTGTTGGTCAATGTTTGCGGATATTTTAAAATAGTCAAGGCAATACCTTAAGAGCAATCAGTATGTCATATACGCAGAGTCAGAGTAGTGCCTTTCAAAGAGTTATTTCAAGATGTGGTTTCTGGAAATACTGCATCAAAGCTTGCTCAGAGAAATATACCTTGTTGTGCCTTGTTTTATTACTTGGGTATGGGTTTTATGCATATTATGTACTTTTCCCTTTTTATCAAAGCATAGTATACAGAAATTTGCACATATGCATTTTCATAAACTGAACACACCCATATAACAGCAGAGACGGACTTTGTAAAAAATTTGTGTTGTTTGGGAGGAAAATGAACCTCTCTGAATTTGCTGTGTTCCTCAGAGGAAAATGTGACCTTTAAACTTTGATCTTTTAGTTTTGAATTAGCATACTTCCTGCTATCTAATGCATTTAAGAATAGCTAATTATTCACTAGTCTTATCTTGCACTTTAATATCAGTTGTTTACATATAATGCTGCCTCCTTTTTTGAAATGAAAACTCTTGACCTGAGGTATATATTCTACCTGCTTTTTAAGGTTCTGAAAGAAAGTATAGTGAAACAGAAAGTTGTGTCTATTTAGCTACTGTTATGAAAAATTATCTAAAACTTGGAAATCAAAAGAATGTTTATCAGTAGCTTTCATTTAACAGTTTCAGCCTGTGGATATTTAATTTTAATTATAATTCCTCACATGGTATTTTTTTTTCCTGCCTTATAGAACATTAACCGGTTTTTAAAAAAATCTTACCTAGTTGTTTTATTCTAATATTTTTTGTTTAAAATGCCTGTGTGTGTGTGTGTGTGTGTGTGTATGATATAAGTAAACCTGTTTCACAAATGCTCTTGGAATCAGCCTTACCATCTTACTGGTCCCTCACCAATTAATGAAATGAGTAAAACATTTTACATGTTCCCTTCATATTTGTGAGTATCTTTTTTTTTATCCTGTTTGAAAATCATAGTTTGACACTATCATAACATTTCTGCTTTTTACCTTCATATATAAGGATGCACAAGGCAATGTGCAAAAATTCCAACGCCTTACTTTCTGTTGTGTTTTCAGGGAAGTTTATAATGTAAAATTAGGTTTTAGTAGTTAAAGTATCGTGGACTAGTGATGTAGTTCAGCGGCAGTGTGTGCTTAGCATGCATGAGGTGCTGGATTTGATCCCCAGCACCACCAACTGTATATTAAGATAATTTAATAAATTATTGTTTTTACCCCCCCCCCCCAGGCTTAAGCACATGAAATGGTCATTGTGGAGAAAACAACATTTTAAGAAACTTTTCTGTCACAAGTTGATAGAAGAAAAACCAATAAGAAGAACACCTTCTATTGCGAGATCCTGTTGTGCTGTTTTAAGACTCAGCTTAGTAATGAAGTCACCATTATGTCCTCAGTCAGTGAAGTAAATCTTGACATCAAGGATTTCCTAATGAGCATTAATCTGGAGCAGTATCTCGTACATTTCCTAGAGTTTGGTTTTTATACCGTGAAGGACTGTGCAGCAATAAATGATAGTGTGCTACACAAAATTGGAATATCACCTACAGGGCACCGTAGGAGGATACTTAAACAGTTACAGATAATATTGTCAAAAATGCATGAAATCCCAATATATGCAAATGTTCATAAGACGAAGAATGGAAACAATTCAAAAGATCACCACCACGCTTCCTCTTCTGATCAGAACACCTGCAAAGAACTTTCCAATTCTGGTTGTATTCAGATACCTAGCTCAACACAGTTGGAGACCTTTACAAAAAATCTTGATCAAAATGATGCTAATATGGAAAATAACCAGTCCCTTGAATCAGATGATAAGCTATCTCTTTCTAACCAGGACCTCCCCATTCCAGAAGAACAACACCTGGGTTCCTCTCATGAGTCTTTACTTGGTAATGAAAATATTAAAATAGAATATTTGACTGCAAAAAAGGCAGTTGATCGTACAGTTGAAGAACAACAAGCAGAAAAAGTTGATTTGATATCCGAAAACTTCAGCAACCTTCCTAACACAAAACCTGAATGTCTCTCTTCCTTCGATTGTTCAACCTCAGAAGCAAATTCTGGAAATGGAGCTAATGGTTTATTAGAAAGCTCGCCACCATCACCATTCTTTGAGTTTCAGGGAGAAATGGTTGTGAATGATTTGTATGTTCCCTCATCTCCAGTCTCAGCACCCATGAGAAGTCGTAGCAAGTTGGTTTCAAGACCATCCCGTTCTTTTCTGCTAAGACATCGGCCTGTACCAGAGATCCCAGGGCCAACAAAAGGAATTTCAGGGAGGTAAGATTTCTTGTAAAGAAGCCATAAATATTTAATGTAGGGAAATTTAGTTATTTTAAACAATGATATTTTCACTGTTCCTTCTGAATTTGACTTACTTGCATTTACATATTCATACAGCCTTTATTTTGTCATCTTTTCAAATTTTTTCCCTGCGCCACTTGTATTTTCCAGTGTGTGTTTCCAACTTACAACTACCTGGGACTCTTTAGCTTTCTCCTATTTAATTGGGGGAACATTGCATCCCCTAATTCTACCTGGATCTTCCTTCCCCTACCTTCCCTCCATTGTAATGTTCGCTTAGTGAAGTTCTCATATTTGAATTGCTGACTCTTATCTCTCCAGCAGATTATTTGTTCTCTGGCAGGGAATGTGTCTTTTAATGTTTGTATATCTATTGCCTGGCATGGTGCTTGGCACCAATTAATAATTCAATATACATCTTTTAAACTTTGTAGGAGTCATTGTGCTAGGTGGAAAGAAAGTTAAGAGAAATGAAAGAGCTTGCAGTCTAGTGTGGAAGACAGATGTAATAAGATAACAGTACAGTATGAACCCAGGTCCACAGAGAGCACATCTCTAGAACCCCAAAGAGGGGCCTCAGGTCACCAGTGTCCATCTTGGGGTAACTGAATAGTTTGAGAGAAGCTGATTTTACAGCAGAGAAAGCTTTCATCTGTTTCTCAAAGTTGCACCTAAATTTGTTGTGGTTTACTCCAGCATTGGGGTGGGCTCTTATTTTTTCCACTAAGAGTCAACGCTTCTCACTCTGCTGGGAGGTATGAAGCTATTCAAGTTTGATGGTTACTGCAGTGCTTTACAGACTTCAGGAGTAAGTCCAGGGCTGGCATTCCTGTAAGATTCCCCTTCCCAGCTTGAATCTGTGGCTGCTGCTGATTTTCTTGCCCTGAGGTACCTTTGGCAAGTTGTATTTGCAATAGAAAAGGTAGCAATTTATTATTTGCAAGAGAAAACATGGCAATTTACAACTCTGTTAAATATAAGTATCTCCTATTAGATCACCAACTCTGAGGGCACAGTTCCTAATTAATTTCTCTACCTTGGCATCCCTAATATTAGTAAAGTCTGATGTTTACTAGGAACCAGTAGTTACAGTGCCATTTATTAAACACCTAGGTGCTAGTTTGGGTTGTAATTTTTGACAGGTTAGCCTCATAGCCCTGTAAGGTAGGTAGTATTCTCTGTGGTCTTCCTGTGAGTAACGGACCGAGGTTAATTCTCCTAGGCCCTCCAGGGCATTTAACTGGTGTTTCATTCCACTACATTCTGACTTCTACCTTTTTAATAAATATTTTTAAAAAATTTGACTGCATCTATAAGAATTCAATTATTTCTTAGCATTGTAGAAGTTCACTAATTTTTATACAAGCGTTTAGCTTTAAAATGTTTTGCTAATTTTCAGCAATTAAAGGAAACTGAATGAAAAGTCACAAGTTTTTAAGTGCCAAAAACTTTCTGTATGAAAAAAATCTAATATGAGTACACAAAATAAAACTCTATTTTTGCCCCATTAGAATCTTTGTGAGAGCCAGATGGGAAACATCAGTTAGGAAACATTTAGTTTAAGGTTCAGACATTGAGTGCTGCTTTCCATGAATTTCACAAAGAATCTTTTAATGCTCATTTAAGTGGAGGAGGGGACGCAAACTGCACTCGCATCCTCTGAGGGTCCTGGCTTAGGCTGAGAATTAAATCGACATAAAACAAATTGACAGGGGAAAAAGCTTACAGATTGGTTATCACAAGTAAATAAATTATAAGTTTTACCTAGGACAAAGAGATGAAGACATGAAGAAGGTGTTAGTGAAACCCTGAATAGGACAAAGAATACCAAGATGTGAAAAAAAGTAGCTGAGTTAGCTGGGAGGTTCAAAGGGAAGAAGTTATTTTAACAAGGTCTATACAGGTTTCTTTAAGGCTCCATCATCTCCACTTCTGTCCCTGAGGATAAGAGTTATTCCTTTCCCACGGGAATTTCATCTGCTTTTAAGGAACAATAGCAAAGTCAGAGTGATGTTTTTGCACCTGCTGTTTTTCAACACTTGAATGAAATGACTTTAATTCAAAATAGTGAATATGCTAGAGTGGTGTATCTTTAAGTCCTTCATTTATAAAGGTAGTCTTTGCATCATGTGAAAGGTTATTTATAGCATGACTGTGAGTCTTTAAAAATTAGAATTGAAATAGCATTAAGATTAGTATCACTAATTTGTACTAACTATATAACAGCACCGTTTTCAGTATGATTTTTAGGGCAGATGACCCATTATACCCTTTCTTTGACATGATTATGGTAGTAGATAGAAACTATGCTGTTGTGACTCTCAGATGATAACATGAGCAAGAATATTAAAAGGTTTTTAGACTTCACTGTATTTCCTGTCCTTTTCTACTGTATTATAAATAGCACTTGATTAGCACTATTTTAAAGTGTTGTGGCTCTTTAAATAAAAATGGTTGATAATGGAATCTGAGTTTCTTTTTAGTCAGATAATAACATTCACAAATGACATTTAGTGTATCCCTTGGTATACTAAATAAGAATATTTTTTTTGTGTGGCCAATGTTTTTAACTTAATCACTAATGAAAAACTTCTTGCAACTCTTCAAAGGAATATGATGCTGGACATGTCTTCCCTTCTTTCTCCCTGGTCACTGATCTTTCTTGCCTTCTTCCTCCTGATGTATCTGACATCTAACCTCCCTTCCTCCTTTCTCCTAACTTATCTGACACAATCTCCTAATTTATCTGACATTCTGGTGTACTGCATTGTCTGTACTTGCCTTGACTTGTTGCTGAATTCCTGCCTGCTCTTTTTCTCCCTAGGGTTGGGCCAGGTGGGGACAATGAACCTCAGGAAATCTTTTTAACTCACATCTCCTGGGCCAGAACAGAACCATGCCTGGGGGATCAGCTCCTTCATTATGACCTTTACTTGGAAGTCTCTTAGTCCTTAGGAGTCCTCAAGCAAAAAGCAAGTCCAACTTGCATCTTGCTTTTTCTGGGGGAATTTTGGGCTTATCCTGTGATGCTGCTCAGGAAAATCTTGAGTCAGGAAGGAATAGGCATTTTAAGAAAACTAAAAGAGGTAACTTTCTTCTCCTCTTTCCTGGTTTAATGATTTTTATACCTCTTTAATGCAAATATTTTTACTTGGCAAAGGTTGTAAAGCCTTCTCATTTAGATACAGGGCCTCTGACTAGAGGGAAGGGAAATTAACAAGGCAGAAGTCATGGGAAGGGGGTGATATGCATGCACGGTGGTGCTGTGATGAAGTATATTCCCTATAAAACAGATGAAACCTAAACTTATATTCTCTAGCCTGCCTGGAATTTCTTATGAAAAAAATCTGAATGTAGATAGGAGTGGGGAATGTTGTTATTATAGCATTCAGTATCAAAAATATGCATAAGCGGAAAGTGTAGTAAGCGATTCTTTGTTGCACTGAATATGAAAAATAAAGAAAGCCAGCATGACTTTTTCATGTCAAAAAAAGTTTCATATTTCATGTTTTAGCAGAAAAATGCTTACCAATCCTAACATCCAGTTTATTTTCTTTGAAAAAGCTTTTTTGATTAGCTCTAAGAAAAAAAAAATAGGCTTAATTATTTGCAAAATTTTGACTTGAATATCTGAATAATTGAAATTGAAACAATAGATTTATCATTAGAGGGTTAGGGTGTCTATGCCCGATAAACTTTGTAACTTAAAAAGCCATTTATTTTTACATTATTTTTCATAAATAAAAAGTTCTACCTTATTTGAAAAAAATATTAAGTTGAAACTTTTGCTAGTAGATTAAAAAAAATGTCATACTCTTGTAGACATATGTGTTGAATCTTTCTGTAATGATCATTGGTTTTTATCCTAAGGACAGTTTTTGGAACCTCACAGGTTAAGAATTATCTGTGCCTGGTGAATTTCACAGTGTTGATCTATGCTGTAGTTAACCTACTATCAGGTTTCTTAATTCAGGTTTGTGTATGTTAGGTAGATACTATGAAACCTCAGAAAAGTTTTAAACTGCCATCTATAAAGATTTTTTTAAAAAATTGAACTCTGTGACATGCAGTCTGTTTTAATTGTGATAATTGCATTTTTTAAACATTCTGTGAAATGATTGTCCATATAACGTGCAGCTGATGTGTGTGTGTGTGTGTGTGTGTGTGTGAGAGTGTGATTTCTTTGCCTAGGTAATACGTGAGTGTAGATCATAAAGGGGGATCTCTGTCTGCTGGACATACATAAAAGCAGTTATTCATTACTTACCTTCTTTTTTTAATTCAAGTTCTTTAAACTATTTTAATATGGATATCAAAAAGTTGCCTTTGCCTCCTCTGACACCACTGGGTAGTTAAGCAACATTTATTTTCTCACAGTTCTGAAATCAAGATGCTGACATGGTTGGTTCTGGCCATTGGTTTCTCTCCTAGCTTTCAGAGGGTGGCCTTATTGATTGATCTCTTCTCCTCAATCAATGATTGAGGGATCTTCTCTGATGTCTCTTTGTGCAGGGCCCTTTACTTATGATCTCCTTTAACCTTAATTAATTCGGATAGACCCTATCTCAAAATATAGTCACCTTGGGGTTAGGGCTTCAGCACTTCCATTTTAAGGATACACAATTCTGTCAATAATAATAGTTTTGTTTCCTTGTATAGAATCTTGTTAATTCTCTATTGAAGGCATAGGCGCATTTTTAGGAGAAAAAGTTTGATTTAGGCCTTCAAAACCAATGAAAATAACATGGGGAAAATATTCACCTAACATTTATCAACATTAATATCACTCACAATCATTGGTGTTTTAATTTGGGTTTTATTTTTTTTATATTTTATTATTTGGGTTTTTAAACATTATTTGTATTTGAACATACATTTTAATTTATGGAGAAAACAATTTTTCCCTTTTAATTTGCCCATTTGTTGAAGATCTATAAATCATTTTCTGTCTGTACATTTATACTTTATTTTCCCAAATCATTTGCATATTGTATGGTTTTTGAGCCTATCACCAAGGACATAAACTGTGATATGTTTGCAGTGTTTGGAACATGTCCTCAAGTATTAGCTCGTAGTCTAAACCAAGGGGGATGGAGAAGGGTTGTGACACAGGGTGAAGATGAGGTTACAACTCCTCTTGTGGAGAAAAAGCAGCACCATCTCAGTTCATGCAGTTAAGCTCTAACTGGTTTCCTGGCCAGGGACTGTAGTATGAGTCATCTTTAAGTAATCATTTAAAAATCACATAAAAAATTTTCACATAGAATTATTTATAACATGAGAAATATCAGACATATAGAAGAGTATGCATAATGATATTACCATAAAATAGCATCTAGATATAAAAAGTAATCTTGCCATAGTCGACCCGGACTTTAGTTGATTGAGAAATGATAAATTCAGCTAATTGTTGTGCCTCCTCTGTGCCCGGAAGTGATCAGTATTCTGAAGTTGGTGTTTTATCCTATGTATGTGTATTTTTGTACCTTTACTGCAATGCAATAGCATTGCTCTGGCTGTTTTTGATTTATGAAAGTGATATTCTTTTGCAACTTAGTGTTTCACTTAATATTATTTTTGAGATTTCTTAATGTCAATGCATGTTATGTTATGCATTGATTCTGTGTAGTATTTTATTAAAAGAAAAAAAAGTTTATTCTCCTCCTGCACATGAAAAATTTTCACTATTACCAACGAAGAGTGTACGTTTTGAAGACTTGAAGACAACAAATGCACACAATTAGATTTACCAGTGAAACCAGAGTTTGAGTGAAACTAGCTTTTCTGCTTTTGCTGGCTGGTGGGTCTGTGTAGGCTTCAGGTTTCTGCATCTGAGAAAGCCCGTGTTAGTAATAGGAGTTATCACAGCTGGGGATGCTTGCTGGGGTCAGCTCTGAGGATCTCAACAAGCAAAGCTGGATTCTTCTCCACTATTATCCAGTGGCATGTTGTAGCTCCTGAAGGTGGGCTCTGCCCTCCAGTGTCACAGATACCCCAGAACCTCACTGCCAATTTCTTTCTAGGTCTTCCTCTTGCATATTTGAAGAATGAAATCTATGGACAATAAAAGAAGGCAAGAGTGAAAGGATTAGGACTTATTTTAAATGAGACAAAAGAAGTAGAGAGAGCTCTTGGTAGACAATATGGGACCTAATAGTACATTACCATTTAGGTATGCTAGTCTAGGTGTTAATATTGTTATCAGGTTAAGGCCATTGATCAAAATGTATGTTAAACAGGTATTAAGTACCAAGGCTGTTGGCTTCTTCTGTGAACACCCAATTGTCTGTTTGAACTTTCCCATAACCTCCATTTGGACCCCCCTCAACTCCCATTTTTCATCCCTCAGGACAGACTTGGCTGGAATGTTTGGAATGTTTCCATAGATTATTTTCATGGAGTGGTCTTTACATTTGAAAAAAAAAAATGTAATAGAGACCCATTACCTTGTCTGATCATTTTACTATCTATCCTGTCTTACTCACCAAGAGGACCAACCATTCTTTTCTCTAATTAAAATAATGGTAGGCTTGTTTTTGCTGACTGTTCATGTAACCAAACATAATGGGCTCACTCCTTGGTGAGTGTAAAGCCAGTAAGCACAACCAGAAGTTAAAATGAGTAAGGAAAGTTATTGCTTGTGTGAGCAAGGAGAGCAATAGAAGTAATGCCAAAAGAAGTATCTCTTTAAGCATAAACAAAGACAGCAAGGTGCATTTATTTGGGAAACTCATGCAAATGCATATTGGAAAGACTTATCACATGTAGAGCCTTGGCACCTTCCTAAACATGCTCATTTTTAAGATCATTCTTCTTCATACAACACGTGTTCAAAATGTTGGAAGGGAGTGCCTCCTGGGGACATAATTCAGCATTATAATGAGCAAAGCTCATTCTGAGTTACCTAGAAGAGTGACTCAGCATGACTCCATGATTTTGTCTGATTCCTGGAGGGCCTTATCTTAACAAAAAAATAACTTGAACCACTGTTAGTCATTCAGAGTGGCAGCAGCCCCCAATAATTTCTGCCTGTCAGTTAATATTTACCTTGGATACATACTATCTTATGCTCTTTAGAAGAATTATCTTATTCATCATCTTTATTTTCCTAGGCAGCAGACTTTGTGTTTTCTCCCTTTAATAAATGTGGAAATTAAGTTCATAGCTGTTAGATGACTTTGTAATCATATAAGGTGTGTTTTCTTGTGGCCCAGAGAGTCAGTGAATCTAAAGGCAGTGTGATGGAGAAAGCAACATCTTTATCAGCATCTTAGAAGATGATTGGTTCTTGCCTTTTGATAGTTATCCTTTCCCCTAAAGATGAATTTTTTAAAAGATTTTTTTTTTAAGGGAAAGTATGTGGGTCCCAGATAGGTTGTGCTTCCGTTATCCAGTTTAGCAGTGTTTTCTACAACGTGGGCTGTGTGCACCTCGTCTTGTTCATGTAGCCTGGCAAGAGTTGCAGTCCAGTGGCTGTAAAGATGACCTTAATGATCACGGTTTCTTTGTTGGTTAGAGTGGCTTGTGTCTGGATTTTGTTGTGGTCAGCATTTCTGGCAAGCACCCTTCCAGATGTGACCTTCTGTAACACAGAACTGGGGAGTGCTCACCAAGTGGGGGGTTTGTGCACATTTCCAGCTAACTTTAGTGTGCAGTGAATCTGCAAGACATAGGATACAAAGATAAACTTTTGAGAATTGGGGTAGAGGGCTTGCTTTTGAGTGTGTTCAACTTGATCAAGATCTCAAAAGCATAATGTGAGAAGGGATGTTGAGTTTTTAGTTTTTGCTGTTCAACCATGATTCTTGATTAAATTTAAAAGTTTTTCAGGGTAACTGGTGGGAAAATAGTACAGAAAAAGGCAGTCATAAGATTGATTGCTGGCTTTGTCTCCTGTTAGCTGTGGAACTTGGGCTGGGACAGCATCTCTTCTCTGCTGGTAGGATCAAGATACCTTGCCCAGCTTGTAGGACTGTTACGAGGAAATAATGTGAGATGTGGATGTTTAAAGCTACCAACAAAATGCTTTGGGCACGGAGCATTCATAGATGAAAATATATGTTCATAATGAAAATAGAAATTCATCTTAGTGTTTCCAAAACAGATTTTTCCTTTGTAGAGCCAATTTTTCATCTATAGTAGTTCAAATGAACTTGATTGCTAGATTTGGTAGTAGGTGCATGTTGAGAGTAAATAAAAATCATCACATTTTTAAAAAAAATATATTTTTCTTATGGCAAGCTAAAATGAAAAAGAAATCCCTATAAATACCAAACATTGTTATTTTTAAATAGTTCAAAATGTTTTTTATTTGTGTGTGGGTGGTGTGTATGTATGTACATATATATGATGTATGAGTGTGCCTCAATAAAATTCTGAGACTTGTACCTGATATACTATAAATGCTCAGGAAGAATTAGCAATATTTATTATAAGGTACCAAAGATGTAGGAAATTTGAGTACTGCTCCACTCAAGGGCTCAAATCATTACAAAGTATTAACACAGTATTTGTGTTAGTAGTATATGAAAGTATGGAAACAATTAATAGCTGTATAGAAGTATCAAGAATCTGGAGATATTAAATAGTGAATTTTTTAAAACCCTTTGATGAAATTCTGTGTCTTTCCCTTGCCAAAGGCGGTTTCTATCCTGATTTTAAATGGCAATAACATTCTTGCTTTTGAAGAAAGCTGTGTCTCTTAAAACATTTCCAAATGGTACAGTTTTGCCTATTTTCTGAACTTAAATAAGAATGCAGTCATGTGAGTATTTTTTTAATCCAGTTTCTTTTGCTTAACTTTGACATTTATTTATGTCGTTACCTGTGGTTATAGTTTGTTCATTTTTACTGATGTATAGTGTTTTATTGTATCAATATTCCATGATATCCATTCCTTATTGTTGGCATATAATTCATATTTTCAACATTATTTAGTATTTAGGTATATTTATATATTTATAGATAACATATATATGCACATATATACTAATCAACTTTATTTTGATGTAATATACATAAAATATATTTAAGCATATAGATGGTTGAGTTTTGAACAGCATATATAACCATGTGATCATGATCACAGTCAAACTGTAGAGGACAGTTCCATCAGCCACCACTCTAAGTGAACTCTTTGTGACCATTTCCAGTAAATTCCCTTAATCCTCTGTATCAGGCAGACATTGATCTCAGTGTGTATTAGTTTTGCCTGTTCAAGAATTTCATACAAAAGGAATTACACAGCAGGTATTATTTTAATATCAGGTTTCTTTACTCCACGTGTTTTTTCATTTGAACCCATGTTGTTACATATCAGATTGTTCTTTTTATGGTTGAGTAGTGTTGGTCTGTGTAGATGTCCACAACTTGTTTATCCATTTGGCTTTTTACATGCATTTGGGAGGTTATTTCTGGAGGGTATCTACATACTTGTGGAGTATATACCAAGAAGTGGGATTGCTGTGTCCTAGGACATGCATATCTTCTTTGGTAGAAAAGTCAGAGTAGTAGTTTCTTTTAAAGTAGTTGTATTAATTTGTATTTCCAACAGCAGTATATGTACATTCCTCTTGTTTCATATCCTCAACAACATTTTTTTTTAATTTAAAAAATGTTAGTCATGTAAATAAATGTATAATGGTATTTCATTGTGGTTTAAATTTGCATTTTCAAATGACTAACACAATTGAAAATGTTTTAATATGTCTATTGGCAGTTGGCCATGTTTCCATCTTCTTTGGCATAATGCCTTTGCACTTCTTCACCCATTGGGTTCCTTCTTGGTGGTGGTTTTGAATTGCACTTTATCTTTCCCAGTAATTTTAAAGAGTTATTAGTACACCATGGGTATGAGCTCTTTGTCAAATATATCTTCTCCTCGTCTGCATACTGGTTTTTTTTTTCCCCTTGGTGGTGACTTTTTAATGAATAAAGTTCTTACTTAATAATTTAGTCAAAATTGCCAATTCTTTCCTTTTTAGTTAAAACTATTTGTCTTCAGACACATGAAAACAGTTAACTTTTATCAGCTGGCTTGTTACTCTGGAAATTATAATCCACCTTGAATTGGCTTACACATGGTCTGAGGTAGGAGCAAAATTTCACTTTCTTCTGTATAAAGCAATAATCTACTTATTTACTGCAAAGACTGCTTTTCTCATGGCTTTGTGACATCTTTGTCTTCTAAGTGACCAGGGGTTCTCTTATGGGCTGTTTACTACTTCAGTAGTCTGTTGTTTATCCTTTTTATCAGTAATATAGTGTCTTAATGACTGTAACTTTATAATGAGTCCTAATACCTTAAGAGTATGTCTTACTATCTCCTCATTGTTCTTGGCCCTTTGTTTTTTATATACATTTGGAATCCACTTGTTAAATAACTCTCCCCAGCCCCATTTATTTATTTATTTATTTATGCATGCATGCTTGGGATTGTATCCTATAGATTAATATAGGAGGTTTCATAATATTTAGTCTTTCATTTGCTTCTCTAATTAGATTTTTCTATAACCTAATTATAGATTATTACATGAATGTTTTATACTTTTCTACTTGCACTCTTGAAGATCCTTTCCTACATTTATTCCTAGTTTTAATAGTTTTGTTTTGATTTTGTGGTACTGGGTTCTGAGCACAGGAGTACTCTACCTCTGAGCTACATCACCAGCCCTTTGCTCCAGCTGAGTTGCCCCAGCTAATCTTGAACTTGTGACCTATTACCTCAGCCTCCCATGTAGCTGGGATTATTGGCATGTGCTATTGTGCTCAGAGGGTTTGGTAATTTTTTAATGCTCTTATCTGTGATACACTTAATGTTTCCTTTTGTTTGGTGTGTAGGAAAAGGGTTGATATTTTACATGTCATATATATAAACAATAAATTAGTTAAATCCATTTCTAAACAAGTCATTTGAGGCTTGATATACATAAAATAAATTATAACCATTATGCTTATAATTTGATGAGTTTTGAAAGATAAAGTAAACTTTTTTCTGTGATCAAGAATCAGAACTGGACAGATCTTCCAAACAAAAGTTGAATAAGGAGACTATA